CAGCTTTGGTTACCTTGACCCAGGCACAACAAAAACACTCCACGGGGTTTGGTTGTCGTGTTGGATCCGATGACCAGCTTTGGTTACCTTGACCCGGACACAACAAAAGCACTCTACGGGGTTTGGTTGTCATGTTGGATCCGATGACCAGGGCACAACAGATGACCAGGGCACAGCAGATGACCAGGGCACAACAAAAAGCACTCCATTAGGTTTGGTTATCGTGTTGGATCCGATGACCAGGGCGCAGCAGATGACCAGGGCACAACAAAAAGCACTCCATTAGGTTTGGTTGTCGTGTTGGACACGACGGTCACAGTGTGCAGAAGGAGATACAGGCATCATTTCAACCCACGGACATGCTAAACGTTGACGTCACCAAGACGCAACACAACGACAGAGTGATCGTGACCATCGATTTATAAACATCAACCATTCGCAGCACAATCTTTAGAGAGAGAGATGTGGCGGGATGATTACCTGAGAAAAAGACCACGGTCGAGTCAACCAGATCACCGATTTGCGCAGTAGCAGCTCCAAGCGACGATTCACACAGTAGCAGCTCTGTTTGCCCCGCAACTTTGCTTGCCCCGCTTGCAGCAGCTCGGCCTGCCGCACCGCACAAAAACCGCGCGCGCTCCAAAAACACGAGTCGAAGTACCCGCCTTCAGGAAATGAAGCTATCGGCATCAGTTTGCCTACTTCCCGTCGGGGGACCGGAACGCGACGGCCCAATTTTGACGTGGGGGGAAGGTCCCAAACCAGTTAGCCTACTCCCCGCTGGTCGACCGGAACGCTCAATCGACACCGTCAGTCGCTCAGATCTGACGGTCCACGTAGCGTGGGAGGGGACATTTTCCGGAGGAGGGTCGACGGTCCGGTACCGATTTTCTGGTGCAGGGTCATCAGCACCGTCGGTTCGACACGATCGGACCGCCGACGGAGCGCGTGGAAGGACACACCGCAGAGTATAAAAAGAGTTGAGGGTCCCTCCCGCACTTCTTATTTCATCCTCTCTGACTTTCACACGGGGTGTTTTCAGCGCAGGGCAATATCGGCGCTACTTTGCCTTCACCGCAGGGCGCTTACATTGCGACCTTGTGTGCACCCCGATTGCATACGCGGGCGTCGTGCATGAGGGCGTCGTGCATGTTTCTCATGCGTGCGTGTTTGTTTCTCATAGCTGTTGTGGTGGCACAGTCGAAGCACATGTCGGAGCAGGACCAAACCTTACCGTTGGAGCAAGGCCAGCGAGCGGGAGCGAGCGAGAGCGAGACTTTGCACCGACGAGCACGAAGCGAAGGACAGAGTACGGACGGTGAGGATCTGCCCAGATCCATGAGATTCAACGAGGGCTCGCCACGTGGCACTTTCAAGCTGTGTTCGCCGTTCATTGTCGTGTTGAACACGACGATCACATGCGAAGCACCACAGATGATCGTCGTGTTGAACACGATGATGGACGGCGGGCGGGTTTCATATGGACGAGCGCAGGACTGCCCTATGGGTGATCGTTATGTCGAACACGACGATCACCCGTCGGGCAGTCCTGCGCTCGCCAAGGTCATTGTCGTGTTCAACACAACGATCACCTGCCAAGCACTACAGGTGATCGCCGTGTTGAACACGGCGATGAATGGCGGGGCGGGGTTCATTGAGGGCGAGCGCAGGACTGTCGTACGGATGATCGTCGTGTTGAACACGACGACCACCCGTAGGGCAGTCCTGCGCTCGCCTCGGTCATTGTCGTGTTTGACACAACGATCACCTGCCAACAGGTGAGGTGATCGTCGTGTTGAACACGACGATGAACGGCGGGGCGGGGTTCATTGAGGGCGAGCTCAGGACTGCCCTGCGGGTGATCGTCGTGTTGAACACGACGATCACCCGTAGGACAGTCCTACGCTTGCCCTACGGGTCACCCATGTCGTGTTCGGAAGTACGTAGCTTGGGTAGTGCTGCTTCCTGATTGCTCACCCTGTTCTTTCTCGTTCTTCTACCCTGTTGGTACTTGCATATTGCAGCTTGACATTTACAGCTCCCTCGTGCATTATCCATGATGGATTCTTCAGAGAGACAAGGCAAACGCTCACGACGCCAAAGCAGTGTGGGTGTCGACAACTCGCCTAAAAAGTCTAAGGCAACCCATGTTGCTGGGGTTGACAAAGCGGAGACGCCGGGATCTAGGGGTACTGTGCAGCGCCGACCGTCGAGCTCCGCTATGCAGACCCCTATGCAACGCAGTGCGCCTCATTCGGGCGATCCGTCTGGTCACCACAGTGCTGGCGAGCAGACCGTCAGGACGGTGGGGAGTGGTCGAGGGTCCGATGGTCTTGGTCAAGGGTCTGTGCAGCAGGTTACATCTCGTCTGGGTCCGTCGAGTGGTCAAGGCAGGGGTGACGAACAGCATGCCCAGACTGTGGGGAGCGGTCAAGGGTTTGGTGGCCGTGGTCAAGGGTCTGGTGGTGGTCCGAGTGGTCGAGGGTCTGGTGGTGGTCAGCGGACCCGCACACAAGATACAGTGCGGCAGGCAGGTTCGGGGGAGAGGTCTGCGCATGGACAGGTAGATAAAGTTCCCGTCATAGACTACAAAGATAAATTCTGGATGTTGGACTGGGTGGGCGAGGCGGGGCAGGCTGGAAGTGGTTTGATGTTGTACGTGGTGTTCAGAGAAGATATTAGACCGATAGGTGGTATTCAAACTTGGGCAAGGAGGGATGGTCCGCTTGTCACTTTCGAGTTAACTATGCAACTCAACGGCAAAGGCCACTTGTGGATGTTTTCAATCCTGATTCAGATAGCCGACTCCGATTACCTGACCTCCGCCAAGTTCTCGCGTTTTTCGACACGAATTCGGTGGAGGGCCATCGTCCGGTGGCCCACAAAGAAGACACTATTACGGAACCGAAAAGTGTTCTGTCATCGGCGCGTCCGACTGTGGGTGCCATAACGATTCGACAGCTATCAGTGACCACGCCCACCGTCCGGGAAGAGAGACAACACGCTCTCGTATCCACGCGGGTGGTCCCTCGAGCGGGACAAATCGCTGCCAAGGGCCCGACTCATGCTCAGGCTCCGCCGCCGGCTCCGAAGAAATTCTGTTCGGTTGGAGTGAAAGAGTCGCTGTCCGTGTTACATGACATTGTGCGTACATCAAACATGTGTGCCGAACCTATGTATGGTGTTGTGCACCGTGGTGTGCAGCCTTTTTATTTCGGTGATCCGGGAGAGCGGAGCAGTGGCGAAGGTTCACAGAGGGAAGAGGAAGAGGAAGAGGAAGGTTCTCAAGAGGGGAACGATAGTGAGAATACAATTAGTGATCGAGAGCATCATGGATGGCAATAAAAGAAGATGGGCAGTGGCAATTTTGCTCGCACCGGCGTATGGCGCAATCACGATTTTATGCACATGCAGAAAATCAGATCCGGCTGCGGCTTGCTCGACTCAATCCAAATGTTTCTCCATCGAGAGTGGACATAAGGACAAACGAGGTTTTTCAGGAGCTCAAGGCATTGCAAAGACTTGAGTACTTGGAAGAATTTTATGATAGACAAACAAGCCCGACATTTGGATATAACTGGCGCATTGATGAGGGCGACGAGACCGGTGGGAAAAGGGGACAAGGCCCTAGCGGTGGAGCGAGTGGAGAGGGAGGTGAACACCCAAGTGGTGACGAGGGCAGAGGTGACGAGGGAGGATGTGATAAGGGAGGTGATAAGGGAGGGAGTGGTGAGGGTGGAGGAACATCTGAAGCGCCTGGGTATAGTCAGCCAACAACAGGCACATCAGAAGGGCAAGCCCATCGTCACCATGAGAGAAGCGTCAGTGGTGTAGGAGGGCACATCGACATTCGTGGTTTGCCGCAGGTCAAGCTGTCTACTGCAGTGGAACAGGTTGACGAAGGATGTGAAGGTGGGCAAAGKSTCACCACAAYACTCACARCTGTCACAGTGACAGATAATGAATGGTGTGATGGCAGTGGCGCAAGTGTCTTCCCCGTTGGCGAGAAGGGCAATATTGGTAGCCCACAAGRYCATATGTGGATGTCTATGGATATTTTGCCATATGGGTTGGGAAGCCAAGGGCGGCTCAGGGCATCATTGGATGAAACCATGTATCTGGCGGAAACGGAACAACAACTCGAGGCAGGCGACTTAGAGATTCCTGCAGAATTTCAAAGTCCGATATCAGAGGAGAAGGCACAACGAGGGTCTCAGGAGGCACGTACTGTAACAGGCTACCAGGAGGAAGCTATGCTTGCGGAGGAGATGGAACCGGGCAGCGAGCCTAACAGTCCATTTGATGAAGACATCCCTGGCAGCGACTTCGATACTGGTACTGGAGGGTCTCAGGATTCGCCTATTGCATTCGATACTGCTGGGAAGAACGACATTCTTGAGGGACTTGTGGCGAAAGAAGCAATTCAAGTGTCGGACATCGAAGAGGATGAAGGACATATTGTACTGACTACTCCAGAGCAACAGACACCTATGGAGGAAGGACGAAAAAGTACACTTCGAACTCCTGTGCAGTTGTTCAGCCCATCTGTCAAAATGATAAACATCGAAGAATCCCCTTTCACATCAAAACAGTTCGGAGATGCAAAAGAAGACGGTGCTCAAGGGAAAACCGCAGTTAGTCGCTGAGGTGAGCGCTTACCTTATGAAGTGAATATATGTGTAATATTGTACCTAGAACGAGAGATGATTTTCCGGTTTTGCATGTTGCTGTGCATTGGAACTGTTCTATGTTTATTTGCATATATGTAGTGTGCCTTATAGTGCGTCCGAATTGGTAAATGAAGCACACGATCGACTTTTAATAGTTTGACTCACAATACTTCACTGCTATTAATATTCATTTACATTCATGTTGTTTTAGCGGATTTGTAATGATATCAAAATGATCGTTACTCATATTACTCGTTACTATCGGTGATGATTGTGCTCTCTACATTGATGAACGTGCAKRCMTGCGTAAAGGACTGTGGAAAGCCCCTCRCGTGCACTCGCAAAGGAACAGTGATAAGAAAATTATACGTCGTGGTTTGCAAGCCTTGTCAACGYTRYCGTTGTTACCCAAAACAGTTAAAAGACGAGCGCAACCTGTGACGATCCCGTTTGTGAGGCCRRCTGCTCTAAGGATGTTTAAAGYTGTGGGAATAGGGACGAAACAAGGGARGAAATTGCACYGTGAAGTTTGCACTGTATCTGTTGTGGAAAGCGGCAGCGACAACGAAGTTGGCAAACAAGCACCGTCATGAACTTCGTGTCCGCTTCTTATATCTATTTTCAGAAAGGCACTACTTGTATGGAAGTCTTAGACATACCGTTGTTGTTTACCTGTGTGTTTGTATGCAGTGCCTAACGAGTCGTTCAAGATTCCTCTAGCAACGCAACCCCTCACTGAAGTCAAGATGCAGTATGTTGAAAGGGTTGTGAGGACCGGTGAAGAAAACGAAGAATACGGCATTATTGTTTACAAGGGTGACTGAAAGGTGAAAAAGAAAGATATTATGCTCATCATTGAAGCAGGAGGATGATTGAATGACGAAGCCGTGAATTTGTATCTGCTGGCAATCCAGATTGACAATGATAATGCCAGAGAGAATTTGATGTCTAGAGGACAGATTAAAGGCGAAAGTCTGAAGGACATTCCATCTGTGTATATTCTAGATTTTTTTTTCTATGTCAGGATAGCATCCGCGACGTCCAGAGAAATTGTTTAATGTGAGGGAATTAAGTGGGTAAGTGGAAGAAATATTTTCGATTATAACTTTGTACTTATCCCTTTGAACTTTGGAGACCACTGGGTTTTGACATGTGTTAGAATAGACGGTTGCAAGTGTGAATTCCAGCTATTAGACTCTCTACCTCGCGACGACTGCCTCGCAGCGCTGGAAGTAGTAGCCGCATTTTTTAAAATGGAGTTCAGACGTCAGAATCTTCATGAAAAATATCAGGTCGACGAGCTTGCGACACCTTTCGAGACATCACTTCATGGGGTGTTTGATATCATTCAACACTTTGACGATGGTTCGTCACAGTTTCAAGTGCTATGTGTCATTCGACACTTTGTTCATAGTTAAGAATAGTCTCAATAGTTTGTGTGTCATTGAACACTTTCTTGATGGTTAACAATTGTTTTTATGGTTCATATTGCTTTCCACAATTCTCAAATGTTATTGTGCAAATGACATATTGTTTTCCAGAATTTCCAAATTTTATTATGCGAATGACGTATTTCTCAATTGCCAATGTTAAGTTCTCACCATTTCGCCTTGTTTCATCGCTATTTTCCTCATTTCTTCCTCTTTTATTTGTGTTATTTTACACTTGAAAAAAAAGTGAACATGAAAACAATTTTACTTTTAACGAAAACACCGTTTATTTATTATTTTATTTATGAATTTTTATTTTAATTTGTAAATACTTGACTGCTGGTTGTCAGAGGGTCTGTTTGCTGGGGCATAGTTATTGTCTGTGGGACTCGTTGATTTTGCAGATATACAAATATTTATTTGAAGTTCTTAGACCAGAGAAAAAGAAAAAGGGTTTGATATCCCCTTCCTTTTATCTGAGAAGTTGAGGAGACGCCTCACTCAGACCAGAGAAAGAAAACAAGGGTTTGGTATTTACTTCCTTTTATCTGAGAAGTTGAAAGGACGCCTCACTCGGACCAGAGAAAGAAAACAAGGGTTTGGTATCCTCAGGTGCTTGAGAAGCTGAGAAGACGTTTCACTCAGGCCAGAACAAAAAAGAGGGTTTGGCATGCCCTATTTCCAGCACGGCAGACAAAGTGAGTACTCTCGTTATTGGGGTCATCTCTGGCATAGATGCTTGATCAAGAGCTAAGGTAACCCTCATACGAAAGGCCAGCAGTTGAATAAGTCAAACATGCAGACAGAATCCTTCTTAAAATTTTATTTGGTGGCCGACAAGCGGCCTGGTTCACGAGGAACCTGCATCCCTGGCCTTAAGGAAGCCAAACTCTCAGGCCAGGGACGCTGTGGAATGGACAGTGAACTGAAAATTTTATGGGCAGAAAACGGACTCAGAGAGCTGAGAACGAGAAAGATACTGAACAAAATACAATGGCCAGGATGATGAGGTGGCGAAACAACACATGGGACACGGGACGATAGAGATGGCACTATGGCCTTACTCACCGCAGGGGTGGAAGGAGCTCTAGGGATATAAGGGGGAGAAGAAACACAAGGTGTACTATAGCGCGCATCAATTTTTTTTCGGAGGTATTCCATCCTGTCTGGGGATGGAGGTTTCTCGTACCACCCCGATGATGGATAACACGAGTAGGGTCTCAGATGCGCGTAGCCTCTAGGTTCTTCTTCCTCCTCCTCCTCTGAACTATAAGAGCGTCGTGCCCTAACTGGCGGCTCCTTTTTAGCCTTCCCTGTCCTACCTCCCCTTCCTCTACCCTGGCCGCGGCGTGCCTCAGGCATGATGCACGTGAGGTATCTAAGGGCTATGACTGAGAAACTTGTGTGAGTGAAGCTTGTGATGATGAGATGAATCTTGAAAGCGGGAGTGGAAGACTACCAAAAAGAAATAAAGAAAAATGATCGTGCCGACTACGGGAGATTATGGCATGCTACGTGAGAAAGAAGATGAGCACTAAAAGAAAAGCAAGCACAGAGAGAAGAAGCCTAGCATAGAGAAAAGAAAACCTAGCGTAGAGGGAAGGAGCTAGTGCATAGAGAAATAGCTAACGCGGAGAAAGATAGGCGAGCGTAGAGGAAAAGGATGGTGCTGGGAAAAAGAGAGTGAGCACTAAAACAAAAACAGAAAACGGACCGTGTAGAACTATGGTGCGGGCTCCACAGTGAGTTGCAAGTAGGAATGAATGAGAAGTATTGCTTGCTCGCTCTGGTTGTATGTTGAAAATGCGATGCGTTTCGACCCAGCGGGGACGCTGGGTGGGGGTTTGATATTATGTCAGAGGGTACCGGCGTCCCGACCCTTCTTTGTGTACCAGTTCCTCGCTCAGTGCCAGTCCCCTGCCCTGACTTATTGATCCCTAAGGCTCGTCTGGTGCTCTTTAGGTCTGGTACCTGGGTTATTCTCGGCGCGGACCAGCCCCGATGGCGCAGCGCTCAGCAAAAAGGGGTGCGCCACAGAACTTCCATTGGTCCACGCAGGCTCGGCACCCTGCTGTACAGCAGAGCACAACCGGCCTGTGGTCGTGGTAGCCGCCGGGTTCGCCCTCGGACGCGGAGGTGAGAGGGCTGACTCAGTCTTTTCAATTGCGCGTCAATTACCCCTCTACCGAGTTATGGGTCAGATACACAGACCAATCGTCACTGTCATAAAAAGACAAGGCTAAGAAAATAAAGGTAAAAATGGAAATGCAAAAAGAAAAATAAATGACAGTTGAGAGCCTAGTCTATGTGAACTGACGGCGGCTAATCGGAAAAACTCAACCTTCTATAGTCGTTCGTCGTTACGTCTCACTCAAAGTTGTTATTTATTATATTTATTATTACTATTATTATTATTATATCTCCATCAGCTGATACCTGACGTGGTCCCTCTC